CACGACTCCCATTGTAATCCAGCCAAAACCAATTCCATCAATCGCTGGAAAGTTGCCGGCACTGAGTGTAAGCCCATCGGCAACCGGTTGAATTGGAACAGGCCGTGCGGTGTACGGAAAGCGGTTTTAGGCTTTGAATCATCGTCCAGAGGAAGCTGCCAGAATCCCGAAAGTAAATCTAGTGTGGAGAAGAATCGCGCTCCCGCCAAGGCGTCCAGCGATTCGTCCATCCGTGGGAGCGGGTATGCGTCGGCAACCGAAATTTTATTAAGGCGCCGAAAATCCACGCAAAACCGCAATGAGCCATCCTGCTTTTTAACCAGGACAATCGGCGCTCCCCAAGGGCTGGTGGAGGGAGAAATGATGTCGGCGGCTAACATGTCATCGACAGCCAATTTGACATGGTCCTTTTCGGCGGGACTCAACCGAAACGGATTTTGGCGAATTGGCGCGCTGTCACCCGTGTCAATATGGTGACGCAGCAGGTGAGTACAACCCAAATCGTATTTATTCCGACTGAAAAAGTCAGAAAATTCCTTCAGTAGCGATCTAAGCTGTTGGCGCTCTGAATTTGACAGGTCCGTCGATCCCGCACAAAGCGCGTCGAGCCACCCTTCATCGCCGTCCGAATGCGGGTGCGTCCGGGAAGCAGTGTCAACGTGGTTCGCGACAGGTTCCTCGCAGGGCACCGGCGTCGCGTGAGCGAGCACCGTCCCTTGAGGAACCACTACTGTCTGCGACCCCACATTGAGGACCGCGATGAAGGGGTCCTCGTCCCCTCTTACAACGGTCTGGGCCGGAATTAAATGAGGTCCATTAACCCCGGCCCTAGACGGTCCCAGCATAACACCCTGGTCCCCAACGCCCTTAGCGAAGGGCCTACGAAGTTTCAGAGGCACTAACATTTGAGCTCCCGGCGGCACACGAACTGTTTTAACGACGAACGCCGGTACTGTTGCGAACGCCGTCCGAGCCGCAGCAGGGGAAGGCAGGAACGCCATGCGTCGCCCCGACGGAAGCTCAATGCATCCTTGGTCGATCAAAATTCGAATCGGCATTTTGCCTAAGAAGTCCGTCCCCAGCAGGCACGGAACCGCCAGCGAGGAGGAAACAAAAATCGGCCCCGACAATAGAAATTTGCGCTCGAATCTGTCCCATGATGCCGAGAGAGCCCCCGTTAGCGGCATAGAATGGGACGTTAACCGGCAGTAAAGGACGGCTCTGTACAGGTAGAATATTGTAAATTAGCTCCGAAATGATTGTCGCCGATGCCCCCGTATCGACTAGGATGCGTACTTCTACCCCGTCAATGTGTCCGACCACGGCCGACGACCCCGACGACGCGGCCACCACGCGATGGGCTAACACGGACCACTGCCCGGGCTCGATTTGAGTCCCCGCAGTGATCCGTGTTGGCCCGTCGCAGCGCAACATCGGCCCCCCGTTCGTTGTGGTGCGAGAGTGTGCGACAGGTGAGTGCTTTGGCCAAACATGTGTGGTGCCGCGACTCGCCGGATCATGTTGCTGGAACTTGGGAGGAGGAGGGCCGGCGTCCTGACGAGGCGTCGTCCCGCGCTGTCGAGGAGAGCGGCACCCCGAGGCGACGTGGCCCCGGACGCCGCAGTTGAAACAACGCGGGAGCGCCGTCGGAGATGATGGACGGTCGAAGCGGCTCGACCCGTCCCGGCCCGACCGTGCTCCTGTCGCCTGTTGCCGTCGGTGGTCGACGGCGTAGAGCTCTTCCGTCGGAAGAGTGGCTGCAGCCACCGCACGCCCGGCCGATGCCCTGCTGGCTTTCCGCCGCAGTGACAGAAGGTTGGCGTGGAGGAGCCGCGCAGCCTGGAGAGATGTCATCTCCGCGTCCTCCTGTGCGACGACAGCGATGTCAAGGTCGTCTGCCAGGAGGAGGATTTTCTCCGTGACCATCGCGTCCACGCCATCGTCGTCCATACGAGGAAAGGCCGTCTTCGCCATCGCCAGGAGGCTCGTCCGGTATGCCAGGGGCGACTCCTTTTCACCCCGCTTGCGATCGTAAAACTGCTGTCGGCATTCAGCTGAAGGTCCATAGACCCCGCCCAGCAGCTGTAGCGCCATCGGCAGCGTAGAACGCTTCTCCCTCGGCGCCGATGTGAGGGCGGCGAGCGCGTCGCCGTCGAGGAGCGCCGGCAGCGCGCAGAGAGCCTCCTCGTCCGACCAGTTTGCCATTTCTTGGTGGGCGAGGAAGCGTCGCCGAAAGCCGCCCCAGTCTCCCTCCGCGCCGACAAACTCCTTAAGCGGGGGCAGTCTCTGGTGTAGCGCAGCGGTTGTTGTAGAACCCCGCAGGTTGTTGTCACCACGACTCGGCTGTGGCTCGGCGCGAACGGCCGATGGAATCGCCTGTCGCAGCTGCGATGACGCACCCTCCGCCGGTGATGACGCGGCAGCTCCAGCGAGGCCGATGTCGGAGCCGATGTTCAAGCTGGCCACGCCCTGAGCAGCCGCGGCGTCGATGGCGGGAAATTCAAATTTCGACTCTTCTGAAATGGCGGGAAGGCGCCCCGGTCGTTGGCTCCCCTCGCCCCGTGGTGGACCGCCAGCCCCCAATCGCGTGATGGTCTCCAGCGTGGCAGCAGCGGCATACAGCAGCTCCGCCAGCCTTTCGTGAGCCAGCCGTAACGCGTCTGGCTGCGGCCCCTCTTCATTCCGATGCCCCGGTAAGTAGGCGTCAGGCCCCGGCTGCACCATGTCTTGTGGAGCCATCTCGGGCTCGACGATCTCAGCAGTGTCTTCCTCCTGCGGTACTCTGGCCCGAGTTGTATTGCGCGTTTCCATGTTCGTAGGACTTCTGACTCCAGTTGAAGTACCGGTGAGGACGCTTGACACCGAGGTTGAGGCACACGTGTATTTATTTTACAGTACAACAGTGGGCATATAACACTCGAGGGGGTATCGGCCCCCTCACCCGTATAACTGGGGATACACCCCTAGCTATCCCTGACCTACCCCCGAGTCCTCCACTAACGGGCTAGGGGAGGCTGTCTGGCCCGACACTGGCGAGTCGGGCTACGGTACCCGGAGTCCCAGAGTGCTGACTCTGGTTCACGGGACCACGCCGCTGGCTCGGTCCTGCGCGGCCCTGACAAGGGCGGCGTCTCAGGGGAGTCCAGGGCTCTAGCTACCCGGGTCTTCAGTCTTCCCTTCTTCGTTCTAATACTGAGCCCCGAGCTCTCTCTGTCATCCCCTTTTATATCCCCCCCAGGATCACAACCCCGGGCAGCCCTACCCCCCAGGCTGCCCGATGCGGACGTTGTTGCGGGCACCCCCCCCCGTGTACTCCCGGAGCTCCGCCCACTGTGTTTGTTCGCCGTTTGATCCTATGTACAAACAGCCCCTCCATAACAGCCCTACACCTGTATAAAAGACACCTAGGAGCCAGAAATCTTTCTGATTGAGAGGGGGTCAAATACTTATTTCCCTCATTAATATAACGAGCTGAGATTAGGAGTACACTCTTAAAGGGAGTGCTCCTAATCTCAGCTTGTTACCTGTATAAAAGACACCTGTTCACAGAAGCAATCAATCAGATTCCAAACTCTCCACCATGGTCGAGACCAAAGAGCTCTCCAAGGATATCAGGGACAAGATTGTAGACCTGCACATGGCTGGAATGGGCTACAAGACCATCGCTAAGCAGCTTGGTGAGAATGTGACAACAGTTGGTGCGATTATTTGCAAATGGAAGAAACACAAAAGAACTGTCAATCTCCCTCGGCCTGGGGCTCTATGCAAGATATCACCTCGTGGAGTTGCAATGATCATGAGAACGGTGAGGAATCAGGCCAGAACTACACGAGAGGATCTTGTCAATGATCTCAAGGCAGCGGGGACCATAGTCACCAAGAAAACAGTTGGTAACACACTACGCCGTGAAGGACTGAAATCCTGCAGTGCCCGCAAGGTCCCCATGCTCAAGAAAGCACATATACATGCCCGTCTGAAGTTTGCCAATGAACATCTGAATGATTCAGAGGACAACTGGGTGAAAGTGTTGTGGTCAGATGAGACCAAAATGGAGCTCTTTAGCATCAACTCAACTCGCCGTGTTTGGAGGAGGAGGAATGCTGCCTATGACCCCAAGAACACCATCCCCACCGTCAAACATGGAGGTGGAAACATTATTCTTTGGGGGTGTTTTTCTGCTAAGAGGACAGGACAACTTCACCGCATCAAATGGACGATGTACGGGGCTATGTACCGTCAAATCTTGGGTGAGAACCTCCTTCCCTCAGCCAGGGCATTGAAAATTGGTCGTGGGTGGGTATTCCAGCATGACAATGACTCAAAACACACGGCCAAGGCAACAAAGGAGTGGCTCAAGAAGAAGCACATTAAGGTCCTGTAGTGGCCTAGCCAGTCTCCAGACCTTAATCCCATAGAAAATCTGTGGAGGGAGCTGAAGGTTCGAGTTGCCAAACGTCAGCCTCGAAACCTTAATGACTTGGAGAAGATCTGCCAAGAGGAGTGGGACAAAATCCCTCCTGAGATGTGAGCAAACCTGGTGGCCAACTACAAGAAACGTCTGACATCTGTGATTGCCAACAAGGGTTTTGTCACCAAGTACTAAGTCATGTTTTGCAGAGAGGTCAAATACTTATTTCCCTCATTAAAATGCAAATCAATTTATAACATTTTTGACATGCGTTTTTCTGGATTTTGTTGTTGTTATTCTGTCTCTCTCTGTTTAAATAACCATACCATTAAAATTATAGACTGATCATTTCTTTGTCAGTGGGCAAACGTACAAAATCAGCAGGGGATCAAATAATTTTTTCCCTCACTGTATCTATAGCCAGGGTGGCCTCTCGTCCGAATCATTCGACCTCTAAAAGCAAACATGTGAATTCCACGGCTGTGAAGCTATGAGTGTCTACACGCGTATATTCTGGTGTACCAGCAAACAAAGTAGGCTCTTGCACATAATATATAGCATTCACGTGCATAAGAGAACGAGAATCTGTTACCTGCTCCGCACGTCGCCAACAGAGCCATCGCGATAACGGCCCTCGGCAGCTCCGGGTGAGCCATGTGCCCCACAGTCCTTGGGCACACAGCCCGCTTAACACCAACTGTGTGGTCGTGCACTTCACACGAAGCTGTATAAAGGGAAAGTCCAGTTTTCATAACGCGGATATTGCACATTTTCCGGTTGCCCTTAACATTACCCACACATAGTTCGCAAGCATTCCTACCAGCGCTGACCATTTACAATGTAAAAAAAAATGCCTGAGGGGAGAGGGAGCACAGTAGTTAACTCACTGCGCTAGGAATCGACGGCTAATGGGGAAACAGCCCCAATGACCGACACTGCGTAGGAAGGTTTCATCCAGCAGTGGATTGACACACGGGGTGAAAGTTATCATTATAGAAACAACACATTTACGTGGTAAATGTGGTCTGTATTTACTTCACACAAGAGAAAGAAGCAACATTTCTCTATCTGTAATGATTACTTAACACACTTCTCTTGAGCTGGTACTTTATTGAAGACACGGTCACTTGACATCAGGCGGAGATCCCACTGCAACAGCCCCGAGTCTGCTGCACATCTCCCCCACATATCAATACGAGGCCACGCCCCCCTCGATCATTCTCGCTGACTCTGGATGCTCCCTCGACCGGCAGACTCCACCGTCCTCTTCCGTCTCCTGACCACGCTCCCCTCTCCAACACTCCCGCAGCCACCAGTCCCCACGCACTCGCAACCGACACCCCTGTCACCACCTCCCGTGGCCACTAGTTTTTCCACACTGCATGCAGGCCCCATTGTCATTACATATCCAATAGTTCACACAAGTACACCAGGCCTAGCCTGGAGCAAACATCTACGTGCAACATTAACATGTGTCAATTTTGAAGTACCGGGATGGAGGAGAGGATGCCACGATCGAGAGTGTGGAGAACTTGAGGTTTGCTAAGTGGAAGCTTCGGATTTTAATCCTGTCTCAGATAAACATTACCACTTGGGTTTTTTAAAGTTTCTATTGACGGGAGATATTTGCATAATCGGCCAGCGATCGAATATACAAGTGTAAACACGACTTGATACACTTTTTTAGATGGTTTCTTTATTGAAGACACGTTCACTTGAACAGACTGAGACCCCACTGCAACAATCCCGAATCTCCCGCGCATCTCCCTCATATACGGACTGAGGCCACGCCCCCCTTCCGAACCTTCTCGCTGACTCTCCCACCATACACCATACAGAAACAGCCACATGAAACTCCGACCAAAACTATCACGTTACCATACATAGCAGGCGTGACCAAAAAGATCTCCAAAATTCTAAACAAACATAAGATCCAAGTCCGATTCAGTACAGTGCATAAAATCCGTGATCTGATTCCATCTGTGAAGGATGTTGTTCCGACTTACAGTATCCTGGAGTCTACAAATTGAGTTGCAGTTGTGGTGATTGCTACATTGGAGAAACGAAACGTCATGTTTCTGATCGTGTCCACGAGCACAAGTCAGATCTGAAACACGGCAGAACTGATTCTTCGGCCGTTGCTGATCATTGCTACAACTCTGTGGGCTCTCATGAAATTGTCTTTTCCGAGACCAAGGCGCTCTGCAAACCTCCTGGCTACCATCAAAGGTTTGTACACGAAGCCTATACAAATATACAAACACAGACATAATTTCAACCGTGATGATGGTTACAAACTGAGTAATCATTGGAAAGATGTGATTAACCATGCAAAAAAGATTTAACTACACTTATTTGGACCATCTTATTTGACAGACAACTATCACAGACAGCCAGTTTTGTTTTTCCAGGTTTAGTTTTTTCTTTTTTCACACTTTTGTTATGTAGGCTAGGCGTTAGTCACAAACCGCACCTCTCGATAACAAAGGCTCAGTCTTTTGTTATGCAGTCTATTCTTAGTCTTAAGCCTCACCTTACCATATTAATGAAAAGTGTGCCTTTCCGGGCCCTTCCCCCCTCAACCATTATATATACGGAGTAGTAGCTCTTGTAATCTCTCATTTACTTGATACAGCTGTCGTGGCTGTGACGGTTCCACCTGAAGACGGAAGCTTGTGTTGCCTCCGAAACGTCGTGATTTTTATTTTATTTTACTTTTATTAATTTTAATTTTTACCTACGTGACTTTACCGAAAAAACCTAAGAATATGAATCCTTGCAGTCACGAAAGCTTCAAATCTAGAATCTGCACGCTCGCTCCACCTGATCACGCTCTATTCTCGATCATTCCCGTAGCCACCAGTCCCTTCGTACTCACAGCTGACACCCCTGTCATTACCTCCCGTGGCCACTATTGCATTCACACTGTAGGCTGACTCGCCTGTAATTACCTCCCATGGCCACTAGTTTACTCACACCGCAGGTAGAGTCTACTGTCATTACCTCAGCCCTCCCCCCTACTTAAAAATGTAGCCGTCCTGGCTAATACCAAGACTTAAAAAAGACGAAAAATCAACAATTATGGCAGAATGACAAACACATCCGCATCGAATGAAGCCGCTGCTCGACTATAGAAACCAACAATACAATATGACAAGTGAGTGGTGCAAGCCACCTCACACGAACAGAACAACTACACCGGGGTCCACACAAAAAAAAATATTTGGCCTTGGGAATCGAAAGTCCACTTCGTGGTTTGGAGAGCCACTATCGCAGCTGTAAAGTTATTGAACGGGTCCTTGATGTTGGTCCATCGCACATGACTGAGTCTTGTGGGCCTCTGAGAATCAGAGGGTCGCACAATGCATTTCCCGGGTTGTACAATTACTTTGGACGACTGCCCTGGCACATCGGATACACCAGTCTCCGGCCGCACAGTATATGGAGATGAGATGGCTGGGCGAGGATGGACATGTGATTTGAGGCGCAATGGGTGGACAGACCAACTGTGATGTGGGGGCTGATCCACCCCCCCTCCCCGCGGGAGCTTCTTGCCGGGCCACCGCCGATTTGGTGACAGGCCCCCCCGTGCCAGCACCCTCTTGGAGAGATATGTCTCACGGCTGCTTCACCACCGCCCTGGGATTATTACGCGTGCGCCCCTATGGGCGCTCTTCACTCCACAACACGCACGTCAGCACTCGCGGCGTTCCACCTGCCCGCGCTGATTGCCCAATACACGTGTGTGTGTGTTCGTGCTCTCCCCGCGGATTGGAGGCTAAGCTGTTGTGTCAACACGGCGAACGGCCCACGGGTGATTACTGATTAACCCACTGGCAGCCACGGCTCGGCTTCGCCGCTGTTCGGATATTAACTAATTAATCTGCGCTCACGCGATACCCACCCACTGATTTTCTCTGCGCGATATACGCGCATCTCGCCGTTAATACTGCGGTTCTCGCACGTGCACGCACTGACGTGGGCGACCGTTTATATTTTAATATGTGCACGCGTCATACACACACTGATTTATATCACCCACGCCCACTGATTGTATCACCCACACACCGCAGTGCGCCAATCGCTGTTCCAACACTCTTAACACACACGCACAACGCATCAACCATCAATCTGTACTAAGGTTTTATTCCCGGCGCAAATAGTGAACCCCTGTTTATGGCCCCCAGCGAACACCCTATGGGGCAGCGTCTAGCCTCTTATTTCCTACCCTTCGCGATGTGCGACTATTTCAGGCTAGGTATAACTAGCGAACTGGGCTGAATCGACCAACGAACGATCACTCACCTCGCAGACACACTCACGGTGTCGCACGGACACGGTGGGAGTTGGGGAGGACGCTGTACAGCGAAGACTCTGCCTGGCCGACGGTTCGCAGCTACAGGTTTTACGAGGATGCTAAGAGCGGCTGGGATTCTCGACAGTCGCAGGAGAACTCTGATCTAAATATGCTCTCTCCCTCCCCTCTTAACCTCTCAGAGCCCGTTAATCCCCGGGTGACATGATGTCATCCTGCACGGCCAATCAAGTGCTTTACCTGCCGAGTTTTGAACGCTCTAGCCATTACGGGGGGAGGGGGCATCACGTCATCCCCCCCTCCTCTTCCCTCCGTTTCCATTGTCCCCGTATCTGCGTTTCTCATCTCTGATTCACCGGTAATTTCCTGTGTCTCTCTTTTAAATCACTCTTCCTTGGGCGCCCAGGGATTTTTCCCCCACTGTTTGCACTGCCCGTAGAGTGTTTGCCTTCGAGGCGCTACATCCAGTGTTGTATATACTTCATTGCGGCCAGCCTGTAAAGCTCTATGCACCCCTACCACTTTTGAAGTTGATTTTAGGGGGGCCGCCATGTAATCCAGCCTGGGGGCTGGTCGGCCAATCTCCTGTCAACGGGAAACTGGGGGACATCCCTGCTAGGGGCCCTTTGGATGAAAACCCGTGGTGCCAGGCACCCCCCCCCCATCGATACGTGGGTGCGTGTGTGTGTTTAATTGGGGGTGTGCGTGCGTTTGTGTGTATTGGTGCGAGGGGATGGCGGCGCCGGCGGAGTTGCTCCGTTGCTGTGGCACCAAAGTGACGCCCCGCCTGTACTCGTACACACTGCGGCCGATTAATTTCCCCAATCTCGACCGGTCCCCTCCACGGGTGGTGCAACTTAGGTGATGTACGCAGCAGCACCTGCGGGCAATGCAGCCACGCTCTGTCTCCGACAGCCCAAGGAAGCAAGTGCTCGCGCCACCCTGCACTCTTCTCATTAGCGGCTCTTGCCCAGGCAGTATTCTCCCTCGCCGCAGCACGTACCTCCGACACCCGCCCAAACGTAACCTGCAGTGGCACGGGTACGTCCTGTATTTGTTTAGCACATTAGGAATGGATCACTCTTTTAAGTGTCCTTGTGCAGCAAGGGAGTAAAGTGTGGTTCTGTGAAAGTCCTGATGTGCTGTGCAATGCATCAATGCATGTGTGTACAGCAGTATGTAATGTCTGAGTCGGGCCTGTAGGTGGCTGGCAGGGTTAATGAATAACCGCACGTGTAAACCAGCCACATGGTTAATGGCGTCTCGGAAGGATTGCTGTGTGTAACACGCGCTGTTGCATTTTACAGGTAAAGGACCAAAAGGTTGTTTTTGATCGTTATATAAATGTTCTAGACTTGTTCTAGACTTGTTCTAGACT